CCCACTTGGGAAGCCAGTGCCCACCCAGCAAGCTGCAGGCCAGAATACAGCCCCTGCCCCACAGGGGAATCGTACTGACCCCCGAGACCCTGCTGCCAAGGGGTTTCAGGGGCCCAGCGGTAAGCCAAAAGGCCCCTGTCGGGGGGAGCCCTACAGCTCTGCCTCCCTTGTCCCCGCAGTGCTCCATCGGCCAGGCCTGCGCCGTGAAGAAGGGCGCCCGCATCGGCAGGTTGTGCGACTGCCCCCGCGGAGCCACCTGCAACGCCTTCCTCCTCAAATGCCTGTAGCCGCTGCCTGCGAGGGACCCCCAGCCGCAGATCATCTTCTCATGCCGCTTTGTGTTGTGCTGCACGTGCCTCCGCTTCCCCCGGGCAGGGTGCCAGGGTGGCTGGCAGTGGCCACGCTGCTCAGCACAGCCCAGAGGAAGGGGGTGGTGATAGACGGTGGCAGGGCCAGCGTCTGCTCCAGGAGGCTGCCGCAGGGCTGGGGTCTCCTGCTGTCTCCAGGGCAGCCCCAGGTGCTGGGCACACCCTCTCCCCGGCAGCAGCACGGCCCTTTAGACTACGGCGAGGGGGCCACAGCCTCCCCTGGCACCAGTCGTACCTGCTGGGCCCCCACCACTCCCGGCCTTTAAGTCCCCCTAGCACTTGAGAGAGGGACACTTCGGAACATGGGGCCCTGCCAACAGGCTCCTAAATCCAGCTGCGCGCAGCCTGAGCTGCCCTCCCCCCGCTGGCTCTATGCCCAGGGCCCCAGCCCTGCCAAGACCTAGGGCCATGTTTACCCCTGTCCTGCTGCTCCAGGGGTCACGACTTGCCCTGGTCCCTACAGCACTTTGCAGGCCTCAAGCTCCACGAGGGATTCGGGTGCCTGAGCCCAGCCTCCCGCTCCTCCGACCACCCTGTTCCCAGAGGCCCTGCTCAGCCGAGACGGGAAACCAGGGCTGCAGGTTTGTCTTGCTTTCAGTTGCTGCCTGCAGCCCCCTAGCTCCCCCAGCACACCTCCCCCCAGCACACCTCGCCGCCCAGCCCCCCCCAACCCCCCGCCGCTTGCCCCCTTAGCCAGACGCTTTAACCTCACAGCCAAACCAAACCACTGCTTTGAAAGGGTTTTTAATGACATCCCTGGTTCCATTTGGTTTTGTAAAAGCCTTTTAAAAAAATAAACCCCAACCGGTCGAGCTGAGCCAAGCGTGGCCACCTGCAGCCTCTGTCTAGCGGGCGGGTGACACCCCCCAGCGACCCGAGATCTCAGCGGGACTAGACTAGAGGGAGAGCAGAGGGGAGGATTCGAGCCAGCCTGTTCTTGGGAACCGCCAGGCCTGGGTGAGGGTCTGCCCCAGAGACCCCCGGCAGCACTGGGTCCCAGGTCACCACCTGTGCAGCCTGGCACCAAGGGTCAGTCGCCTCAGCCCCACGGAGCAACTGAGCCCAGGGCTCGGCCCCGGGCAGCACTAAGGGGACCGGAACAGGAGGGCTGCAGGTACCAGGGTGGGGGAGGGAGCCGTGAGCTGTAACTCTCCCCTTTGGGGAGCAGCAGGAGCTCTGCGGGGCCGGTCGGGCGCCTTCCTGGGCCAGCCCCCC